GATACCGACTGCCACGTCACGGGCGATAGCTGTGGGCAGCGTCTTTATGCAATGGGAAACCGTTTCCTTTGTCAGCCTCTGCGCACTGGATCCCCCAGGCAGTGTCTCTGTGTTATAGGCTTTCCCGGTAACACCTGGTGTACATCCCCAGGCAGAACATTCACAGTTGTTCATGCACACCCGGTAAACTGGTTAGTACGCAATGTTTGACCTCATAACATGGATCTGTCTGTGCAGATGATACGCAGGGGGCTGTGCCACCATCAATGCATCTAAACAATTGAAACCTGACCACTTAAATAAGTGGATTTGTTTACACAGTAATGCTCATGGAGATGGTATACCCTTAGTCAATCTACTGGTCTTATAGTTGCTCAGACGCGATTGGGGTACGCTAGCTGTACGGTCCAGGGATTAAGATATGTGCACCGTAACTCATGTGCAGGTGCAGCAAGTGTCTCCCTCATCAGATAAGCAATGGGCAGAACCACAGCCAGTGGCGACATTACCATGACATAAGCTCGAGTCTTCAGATGAAAACCATTTTTGAATCGCTACAAAAGTGGTACTTATTTTATTGACCCTGTAAGGATGACAGGATGAGTTGGTCACCAACTTGGTTTTGAAATCATCACCTTCTGATTGTGGGCCAACTTCTCTAACCACGGGACCACCCAGGTTATAACATGCCTTCATTGCTCCTCTATATCACCACATGGATGGTGATTACAAAATATATAATTAAGTACATGATGTTGGTTTATAACCTTAAATTGTGTGCTCCACATTCTGTAATAGAACATGAATACAGAGTTGTACAGCATTGTATTAAGTGCATTGGACTGACAGTTTGATTTTTATCAGTAATTGGTTTGGATGAATTGAATGGCTATGGAGATACTGCCCGTCACAGTTGTGGCTCAAGGAACTTAAATATGGCCAATGTTGTGTTGATCACAACGGAGATGTGTATGCAAGCGGGAGGTGATAAAGTAAAGGTTAAGTCTACAAACCAAACCCCTCCGCATTTTTTACAGGAATTTTTCACTTTCCCAAATTATTTTTAAGCCTGCCAGAAATGCACTCTGCCTGCACCGCAAATTAATGTTGTGATCCCCTTTTTCCCCCTTGAATGTTCAAGGACAGCCACCCAGTTGTATTATTCTGCGACTTTTTGACATTCAGTCCGACTGCATTAAGACCACCACCGCCTTGTGGCTCCGTGGTAGTGAATGGCGAGCAACTGAAAGGTGGCAAGTCAAAATCCTGGTTGGGGAGTTGACTAGACTCATCATTTCCTCCAGGGTCAATAAAATAAGTACTACTTTGTAGGCAAGACAATGGCTCTCTTGTGGACAGACGAATCCCCGTCATAGCAATGTGGAATTTTCACTACTGGCTCAGGACTGTTCGTAGGAAATGAACACTGCAGTTAATCACTCTGACTTTAGACTTTTTGTATTTTTTGTAAGAGTAGAAGCTTTGCAGACACATTTACAAACATGTTTGCATATCTTTAAATATAAATACAGTTCAGTATATATGTATTTTGCAGTTACTTGTTTATACAAAATATTCCTGTAACTTAACTGTACGCATGAAGCAGCATTTTCACAACTTTACAGATAAGTGTACAAATCAATTGTATAGCATCTTGAAGTGCAGCTGCATTTAGATGCTATATAAATCCACATGTTATTGTCATTTGTACTGGAATACATTTACAATTAACCTGGACGAATACAAAAATATATGTTAACAAATACCAAGAAGAAGATACATACTTTAATTCTTGTTAATTTAATATACTGTATAATATGTACGTGTAGCTTACTATAACCCCATTCATTCATAGACGATTAAATTATTTATTATTATGGCTGTGAATGGAAGATCAGGCTGAATGGAGCCTGTTGCATAGCCCATGTCACCATTAAATCTCCAAACAAGGAGGAGGTGGTGTTGGCATGAAGGAATGTGGTGTGGCTGTACACAAGGCTTGCCCAAACAGAGCACAGGAGCAGGCTGTCAGCAAGTCATGTTGACATTTCATTGTGTTGACAGTTAAGATCCAACAACCCAAAAATGCTGGGCATCCAAGTTGCATCCTAACCCTGCGCCTTGTTTAAGAGCATCTATTTTCACTTACAAACTACCGTCACCACAGCGAACCCATTTTTAACGTTAGATAGACATCTTTAAAATGCTAAATTCCCAACAAAGGCTTCAAAATTCTAAAAAAACTACTTTTTCGAATGGACACACTTTGAAGCAGTGTTGTCCTTTGTTTTAAACCATCGGTTAATTTCAGACTGTTTTCTTAATAAGGCAGGGCTTTGTGGTAGGGCTTGCAAGTGACACGTAAAAACTTGATTAGAAGCTTGATTAAATAATTTTCACGTACAGTTTCATGATAAAACAATCATTGAAAAATGTGACAGCGAGCTCTTTCTTGATTCAGAGATCTCAGTTCGACTGTTTTAGCATCACCAAATGTGTTTGGTTGCTGGAAAATGCTCATATGCCCGGAAGAAGATTAATACCAACGAATCCACTGGCACAGGTGAGGGTGATAACTGATTATCATTATTGCTTCCAAAACCCTAGTTATTTAAAAGGGCAGTTAGTGGTCATCTTTGTGTGTCCCTTCACAAAAGAGATCATATCTGCTGGTGTCTGATATTCTGAAAGACAACTTATTCCCATATAATTTGATCTAATAACAGGCCCCAGGTCTCAAGTGGATTCTTGTCTACTTCATGTAAATGGCATAGAACCAACTTTTTGTGGGTCAACGGTTGTGGGAATTGTGCTGGGCTGCAGAATGCCTGCCCAGGCTTGATGGCTCACTAAGATACCACAGGCATCAGTAGGCTCTATCCTATTGCTGCCATTTCCCTGAAGGCATGCTGGGTTAATAACTCAGTATTATTATTGCCCATGTGACATCCTACAGAGATAAATACCCGAACATTAAAGGTAACACACTTTTAAAAGACGACTTTGCAAAGTTCTGTTAAGTTAAGTTTATTTGTTAAGCAGTTAGAACTTGAGACCAAGATAGTCTCATTTGTACGCCAATGAAGCAAATAGAAAATCAGTTAAAAGAGAACAGGAGAAGTTGAAAAAGTTGCACAATTATATTAAAGAAAATATATTTCCTGCAATGTAAGTTGTCTTTGACACATTTCTTCTAAACCATTCACAGTTAAATTAAGTGAAAGAAACATTAATCAGATTTATGGTTAATATTGCACTAATATGCAAGTACACAAGGATATATGTTAAATACAACTTTAATTTTACCATCATAACTATTCTGTATTCATATAATTATCAAGAAGCGCAGCATAGCAGTGGTTAACCCTGTAAAAAGATGTTGCTCAACTCGTCTCTGTATCACATGAATGATTGGTTGTAAATCGTTTCAGATTTATATTTTAACACTTTTAATGAAAATCTCATTAAAGCAGTTCCTAATTTCTAAAGTTTTGATAATTTATATATATATTTTAAGACCTCGGTTTGTGAGCTTGGATGGCTGCATCCGTTTTCACTGAATCAAATACCTTTTTATAATCTAAGAAAACCAGGCATAATGGTTAAATTTTGACTTAAAACTTTCGTGACTGCAGGAATTCATATTCTATGGTTCTTTCGGTAAAGTCACGTAGATAGAAAAAATAATAATAAAATAATATTTTTCATATTTGTATTATTTTATTGTTTCCCTTCTACGTGACTTTACCGAAAGGACCAATAATATGAATCCCTGCAGTCACGAAAGCTTTAAATCAAAATAAAATAATAACAATAAAACAATAAAAAATGAAAATAAAGTGAATAAAAAAAGCCATCACCCCAACCGTGAGGAAGGAGCCATCTGAAGATCCAATAAAAATCATCACCTTACCTTACATACCAGGAATAACCAAAAAGATTTCCAAAATCTTGAACAAACACAAGATCCAGGTCCGATTTAACACAGTGCATAAAATTCGTGACCTGATCCCATCTGTGAAGGACAGGATTCCTGACATGCAATATCCCGGCGTCTACAAACTAAGCTGTACAGTATCTGCGGCAGCAGTTACATTGGGGAAACCAAACAGCATGTCTCTGACTGTGTTCGTGAACATAAGGCAGATCTGAAACACGGCAGGACCAATACTTCTGCCCTGGCTGATCATTATTTTAATGCGGCTAGCTCACATGAAATTGATTTCTCTAAGACGATGTTACTTTGCAATCCGACTGGCTATCAACAAAGATTCATTCACGAAGCCATCCATATAGACACAGACACAATTTCAACCGAGACAACGGTTTTAAACTCAGCAATCATTGGAAAGATGTCATCAACCACTTTGGGTCATGACTTGATTTGTGTTTTCTTGTCCACCACCGTCAGCAGTGTGGGTGTGTGGAGCGAGGTGCAATGCTTTGATTGGTGTAGACCTATTGCCGGTGTCGGAGCCTTCTCCTACATTAACATTAGCTGCCCCGCCCATCTCTAAACCTTGATAAACAGCTCTCTGATTGGTGTAGACCTATTGCCGGTGTCGGAGCCTTCTCCTACATTAACATTAGCTGCCCCGCCCATCTCTAAACCTTTATAAACAGCTTGCCCTCAGAGGCTAACCTCCCTGTTCCTGATGACTGCTTGTGTTGCGATTGAAATGTCGTGATATTTTTTTTATTTTTTATTCACTTTATTTTCATTTTTATTATTTTATTGTTATTATTTTTTTCTATCTACGTGACTTTACTGAAAGAACCATAGAATACAGGCATAATGGTATTTTCCACTTCTTTGCTTCATACAATGTGGCTGACAGTATGTATTTGAATCTTGACTTAAAGTTTTTGTGACTGCAGTCATTCATATTCTTTGGGTCGTTCGTTAAAGTCACGTAGATGGTTCAAAGAAAATAACAAAATACGTGATTTGAAGCTTTCGTGACTGCAGGAATCCACACTTTTTGGTTCTTTCGGTAAAGTCTACGTGACTTTACTGAACGACCCAAAGAATATGAATTTTAAAAAACTGCGACGTTTTGATCACAACACAAGCGATCGTCATCAGGAGGAAAGAGGAGGAAAGCTGCTGAATGGAGACTGTTTTATACGGTGTAGTCCTAGGGTCATTTGTATTTGGTCAAAAAAAGAAATAACTTTCCTAATATCCCTCACCTGGTTCAGCTCTATATTGACCATTATTTGATTCACTGATTTCCGTGCATAATCTATATAGGTGTGACAGGATACATACATTTATGCAGTTCATTTTATCCACTTTGGTCGCAAACGTATGGTCAGATTATGCATTTTAGCAACACTTATGTGGATAAAGTGAAGATAAATATATATTTGCCCTAATGTTGTTGTCATGACGGTGTCAGCAGGGTCAAGGAAGTAAACACTGCCCTGGATAAAATGTGCGTGCGTGCTGGTCTCCCTGCTCCGTGGGCTTGGGAACAGCAATTGGCGCTTTCCCAGGCTGGGCTCTGATCCATGACAAAAGGATTAAGAACCACCACGTTAAAAGGAGGCAAAGTCTCCCGCATTCCTTACATGCCATGTCAGATTGGACGAGAAGGGAGAAAGCACCTTATTGTGTACGGTGGTCTCCAAGGTTGCAATGCTGTTCTGTCAATTGGCACCTATGTGGGTTTGTCTTATGAATACATTTGTGTTGGTGCACCTTTTGCTCTCTTGGTAGAATGGCAAATTGCATTGCTATATTATTTGTTCAGATTGTACTTTTTAATCATGCACACCAATGCAGATAGTGACCATGTTAGGCAACAATAATCACTGTGCTACAGTTGATAACATCTGTGAACCACCAAACTGAGTTCCCACACATGCTTAATGAAGGTAAACCCTCACTTTGATTGAAACATGTAAATTACTGAGCACGTATGTGATCAATGTGAAATTATGATCAGAATTTGACAGTTTTATGTTAAACAAATCTAATGTAAATTATTATCAGTCCACAATTCCTTACTGTAATTATGCATTCTTCAAGGCCGTTGATTGAGGGATCCAGGTTTATACAATGTTGGGTAAAAGTTGCTGAATAAACCCGAGGCGTGCCTCTGACCCAATGCAGGCATGTGGATGGGTGGTCTACGTATGTATGTATGTTGAACTTCTTTCACACCGTACGTAGCCAACCGTGCTAATCGGAGGTGCTATGGTTTACAACTAGCTGAACACGTATGAATCAAAAGCTTAGCTAATCAAAAATGTTTTACAACCAAAGTGCATACATTTGTCTACGTTTAATATATTGTATCATTACACTACCATATATTTAAAGATATTTCTGCATATACAACATGCATATAAGTATGATGTCGGCAAGGTTATTCTGTTGGAACTCAGCTGAATTCTTGTGTTTAAACATCCCCTTGTCATCAGTATAGTTTGGCAATAAAAACAGATGCCATAAAATAACATTTTCTAAACAGATGATTATTCACCAGTAATGAATGGCATTATGTTGTAAATTTAGGCCTGTAGAAATAAAGGGACGACTGTGATTGTCTTTTTTTGCTTCACAAGTAATGTTTAGCTGTATCTCAGCATGATTCCTGCGAGGACCAGAGTCTCAATGAGGTATGGGTGGGCAGGGGAGAACCCTGCCCGGTCTTGCAAGAGGGCTGCAGCTTTCTGGTGCTTCATGTGGCATATCACATTTGGCAGGTCTCTGGAAATAGCTCTTCCCAAGTATGGACCATTAAAGTTTCCATAAACATGGCTCTCAACAGACTCATCACTAAAATCACATTGCATAGCTCTGCCTGTGTCCTCTTTAGTGGGCAAGATACCAAGTTAAGAGTTATTTCCTCTTTTCCCTTTGAAGGTCTTAGACAGCCATTTGGAGTGCCCGTAGGTGGGTGGGGGTTTTGTAGGTTTTTCCAAGAGTGATCTTACTCTCTCCCCCCATCCTTTGGGTGCCAATCCCTGGGCTTCCACCTGCATACCTGTCACCTGCTGCTTGCCATAATTTTCATTCAGTGTCAACTCTTGTGTTCAAAGACCATGTGAAAGGGCTAATTTGATTGAACAAGTTCCATATCTATGATCAATGTTCCTATGTGCATTGATGCTCACCAAATTATATTGTTTTGTTGACTGGTATTTCTGCTATAAGCAGATGTCAATACTGTGTAACGGGGCGACTGGTCTAACACAAACGCACTACCCTCTGCTGTGACACCTGGGCCAGAAGTCCCATGCATATGTAGTGACATCGCGGATGTCACTGTGTGGTGCCGGCCCTAGAGGGGCACGGTGTGCGATGTACTCACATCGTGGACATCACGCATGTAGCGACATTGTGAATGTCACTGAGTAATGTCGGCTCTCGCGAGGCACGGCACGCGATGCATTGTCATTGCGGACACCCCGTAGGTGGGTGTAGTACCAGCCCTAGAGGGGGCTCGGTGAGCACTGGGATAGCGCTTAGTGGCACTACGCGTGGCGTGCAGTGCTGACTCCTACAGGAGGGAGTGTGAGAGTGTCAGCCATGGGGTGAGGTTACCCTAGGTCATGGCACTCTGGTTGACCCAGGAAGGCACGTGACTAGTAAGATCTACACAGGGGCCCCAGGTGGGAGCTTGGGGGTGGTCACGTGTCAGGGGGAGATCCTACGGGAAGGGTCGAGAAACGACAAGAGGTTTCTCGAAGGTGGTCGTGGCCAAGGGCGGAGCCAGCCACGATCTGGGAGCATATAAACCGGGTCCCCACAGGGACCGGGGCTATCGGCGTTGCTGTTATCATTTGAAGATCTACGATATACGTTCTACGTCCAAGAAGAAGTCACCAACAAGTGGACGAGGACACAAGCCAGGGTCCTGTCCGTTGTAGCTACTCCCAGTAACTAGCGTAGTTAGACTGGTGGTCCACCACCTTAGGTTATCTGGTAAAGGGGCAGTAACCCCTTTGTGTAAATGTGTTGGTGTTAATAAATGTGTTGCCTCCAAGAAGTACGTCTGCAACTTAGTTGAATCCACTACACATATATACATTTCATTGAGATTTGTGTGTTGAAATTAGCATGAGCCCACTGAGAAAGAAGCCTTCAGGTAGGCCTTCTGGCTTTGGGAGTCTCTGCCTCACTCCCAACTTCACCTCTTCCTTGTGTGCACCTCTCAATGCAGGCTGGGTCAAAGGCAGGTCATCCACTGGGCACGTCCCAGACACATTGAGTAGCCAGCGGTCAATGCAGTCCTTGTGAAACTGCAATATAAATAATTAAATATGCCCATATAAAGCTTTTTGTATTGGATTGCAACAAAACTACCATGCATTGTTACAGTTTACATACGACACTTCTAAGAAATAACATCTCTTGTGAAGTAACCAAACAGAAACATCTTTCATGAACAAAGCTGTTTGCTTCTTTTAATAGGTAAGCAACTTACAGTAAGGGAAAACAATATTTGATCCCCTGCTGATTTTGTACGTTTGCCCACTGGCAAATAAATAATCAGTCTATAATTTTAATATTAGGTTTATTTGAACAGTGAGAGACAGAGTAACAACAACAAAAATAAAAAAAAAACGCATGTCAAAAATGTTATAAATTGATTTGCATTTTATTGAGGGAAATAAGTATTTGACCCCCTCTCAATCAGAAAGATTTCTGGCTCCCAGGTGTCTTTTGTACAGGTAATGAGCTGAGATTAGGAGCACACTCTTAAAGGGAGTCCTCCTAATCTCAGCTTGTTACCTGTATAAAAGACACCTGTCCACAGAAGCAATCAATCAATCAGATTTCAAACTCTCCACCATGGCCAAGACCAAAGAGCTCTCCAAGGATGTCAGGGACAAGATTGTAGACCTACACAAGGCTGGAATAAGACCATTGCCAAGCAGCTTGGTGAGAAGATGACAACAGTTCGTGCGATTATTCGCAAATGGAAGAAACACAAAAGAACTGTCTATCTCCCTCGGCCTGGGGCTCCATGCAAGATCTCACTTCGTGGAGTTGCAATGATCATGAGAACAGTGAGGAATCAGGCCAGAACTACACGGAAGGATCTTGTCAATGATCTCAAGGCAGCTGGGACCATAGTCACCAAGAAAACAATTGCTAACACACTACGCCGTGAAGGACTGTAGCGCCGGCAAGGTCCCCCTGCTCAAGAAAGCACATATACATGCCCGTCTGAAGTTTGCCAATGAACATCTGAATGATTCAGAGGACAACTGGGTGAAAGTGTTGTGGTCAGATGAGACCAAAATGGAGCTCTTTGGCATTAACTCAACTTTCCGTGTTTGGAGGAGGAATGCTGCCTATGACCCCAAGAACACCATCCCCACTGTCAAACATGGAGGTGGAAAAATTATGCTTTGGGGGTGTTTTTCTGCTAAGGGGATAGCACAACTTCATCGCATCAAAACTTCAGACGGGCATGTATATGTGCTTTCTTGAGCAAGGGGACCTTGCCGGCCCTACAGTCCTTCACGGCGTAGTGTGTTACCAATTTTTTTCTTGGTGACTATGGTCCCAGCTGCCTTGAGATCATTGACAAGATCCTTCCGTGTAGTTCTGGCCTGATTCCTCACCGTTCTCATGATCATTGCAACTCCACGAGGTGAGATCTTGCATGGAGCCCCAGGCCGAGGGAGATTGACAGTTCTTTTGTGTTTCTTTCATTTGCGAATAATCGCACCAACCTTCTCACCAAGCTGCTTGGCAATGGTCTTGTAGCCCATTCCAGCCTTGTGTAGGTCTACAATCTTGTCCCTGACATCCTTGGAGAGCTCTTTGGTCTTGGCCATGGTGGAAAGTTTGGAATATGATTGATTGATTGCTTCTGTGAACAGGTGTCTTTTATACAAGTAACAAGCTGAGATTAGGAGCACTCCCTTTAAGAGTGGGCTCCTAATCTCAGCTCGTTACCTGTATAAAAGACACCTGGGAGCCAGAAATCTTTATAATTGAGAAGGGGTCAAATACTTATTTCCCTCATTAAAATGCAAATCAATTTATAAAAATTTTGACATGCGTTTTTCTGGATTTTGTTGTTGTTGTTATTCTGTCTCTCACTGTTCAAATAAACCTACCATTAAAATTATAGACTGATCATTTCTTTGTCAGTGGGCAAACGTACAAAATCAGCAGGGGATCAAATACTTTTTTCCCTCAATGTATAGAACCAGTACCTATATTTAACAAATGTATACACACTTCTCAACTAAATTAACTCTTATGAAAACGAACGAGCATGAATATTTGTATTTTTCAAAGGAGTGAAAAAGTGGGTGATAAGACTTAATGCGACATAAACATGTTTAGGCTATGCTTGTGCGTGCTTCCTTTAAGAGGAGGGACGGCTTGCGTTAGCATCGCCCAAAGTGGTATCTAACTTTGTATCTTGACGGTTGCAGAAACACTCCTGTGCAAGCACTTGCATCCACAGTTCGGTGATGATAAACTTTCCCACACGCGTGGAGAAATACCGTCGAACGAAGGCATTACCAGCGAGATCACATTTTGTGAAGCTAGGGCAAGCTTGGTTCCCACATACTGCACTGTATACCTGGAGGATGGTGTTGAAAAGATAGCCTTAAAGGGATTATTATGGTTTGAATAGCACATACCTGCGCATGAAAAAAGGTTGTGTTTCTAACACATTTTAGGGGGTAGAGTATATCGGGCATTTAATCAATTCCATTGCACAACATAGGCATACCAATAAGTGTCAATCAATAATGTATTGCACAAAAGAGCCAATTTTACATAAAGTACAAAGTGCATTTTTTTCCCCGTATAAGTCACAACAGTGTGTTGTCACTAAGGCCTGGTTACATCAGAGCATGAATGGCCTGCATGTGTGACGTTCTTTATGAAAGTTTCAGCCATGCTACTTTGGCAAACAAATCGCTTATCACCGAAGTGAGCAGGAGTGAAATGTAACGAGATGTGTGTTCAGTCAGATATGCATATCGCAGGAGCGTGTGTACATCAGCAGTTGTTTACGGACAAAACCCTCGCTAAGTCCCATGACACTTTTTTCAAGAGGGTCCTGCTAAGTTTTGCAATAGGGGTGATGATTGTTACACATAATCCAAATTTAGTCATTTGTAGGTCATTTTGCACATTTGACAAATTTGGACCATGGCACCGGAACACGAAGGGCCTGATGTTGCGAATTATGGCATGAGATCTTTAACGTTCACTGTGAAGCAGACGGTGCGTATTATTATGGTTAATACAACTGCAGCATTAATGAGGGTAGCTGCTGGATTTGAACCTTGTTTTTATGTATTTTTTACTTATTTTACACCGTACATAGCCAACCATGCTAATCGGAGGTATGGAGAAAGGACAACAAAATAAACACAAAAAATAACCGTGAAAAACAAGTGGCGAACGTGCTACCACAAGACCATGTCAACCACCCATGAAACTACATGATTGAGCATAGAGACTCTTACCATGTGCCGGCAGGGTAGAGGGCGCACGTGCTGTCCCTGCCTGAATGACCTTAGGCACACACGACACTGTCGTCCTGGAGCCATGAGCCGACTCCGCGGACCCACCGACAGGATGGGGAGTGAGGCCAGAGCACTCTCCTGCAGTGCTTCACCTGGACAAGAGGCAATTGCACTGCAAAGGAGCACAAGAGAAACAGTGTGAACAACGTCACTTTCATGAACACACCTTTTAAAAATACGTACATGTCTGTAGGTGATAATAATTTAATTTACATGTATTTGTAAGGCGCCTTGTAACAATACAGTTAAGGAAAGGACAAGAGAAAATGAGTTAAATCAAATAAACGGACTTAAGAAGATGTGTTTTTAGACGATAATGAAAAGTATCCACAATATCGGATAAACTAATTTCCAACTGTAGGGAATTCCACAACCGAGCCGCAGACAGAGCAAAGAGACGTATAATAAGAATAACCCAGAAAAGGATGTGAATTGGACTCATTCTTAGAGGTTCACACTTCATCATTGAAGTTCTGGAAAAACGCTTGCTAAAAGACTAATATGCACAAAAGAAAACAATTTTGCTTGATGACTTTAAGACAGAGCTTTGTTACAGTGTAATTGAGAAACTAAATATTGGACATGCTGGAGTTTCAAAGTTTTGCCATTGGGTAGATAACTAAAGATGGAGAAGTCTGCAGATGGTGCAAGAGTAAAGTAGTAGATGTCAACTGGGGTAACTTCAGTCAAGAGTCATTAAGAGTAAAGTCAAAGTTATAGTTTCCATGCTCAAATGAGCATTGAGATTGCATGCATTTTGGTTGGCAGTCACGAATCAGCGGTGAAAATTCCACATTCCCTTGGTGGGGGGCCAGTGTCTCCAATAACGACCTCCTTCATGTGGTACTCAATGTGGAGGAATGATGAGCCGAGGCTTCCAACTCGGATCATAATTTATCCACCAGCATTTTAAATCTTAAACTTTCGATTGTAAATGAAATGCTCTACCAACAGTGGTACTCGATATATACATGTATTAGAATAAGGAAACCCGTCTTTGTTGTTAAGAGTTGGCACTCGAAGAGTGCCCATGTCATATGATACACACAAAGGTGAAAGGTGTTTACACCACGCGACATCCTGGAAATGTTTGCAATAGCAATCACATCCATGTTTTCCTTCCTTGCTCTCGACACCCATATTTGCAAACAAGTGATAATAATAAGGGTGTCTATCATTTAACATTAGCAAACATTCTGGTGGACAAGCTAAACAATGAGCTGCTGCAATTGTACCTGACAGGGTGGTGCAGCATGGCAAAGGGCAGAACAGATAAGCAAATTCCGGTTGTGTGCGATATGTGCAATGTCTGCTCAAGCAGAAGTACAACACTGAAACATTTAATTATCACCAATCTTTATGTTGGATATTTGAATGCACCAATAGCAGTGCAGCATTTCTAACCAAGTGAGAGCTCAGTGAGACAAGACTCTTTTCCAAGGGAGACTATGCTCAAATACAAAGAGAATAACAAGTGCCAGTGTTTAATTTTGTTACATCTTCTACTCTAAGCATTTAAGCACTTTGTGTGGTATTCCCCCGATCTTTACAATATCCTGCGTCCATGGCCAAGATCTAGAGAACCGTTTTGGAAACCCACACACACGATGCGTAACGCGAATTTCAGCATGGAAATTATGTGGATCAACTCGTGGCCTTCAAGCAATGTGCCCAAAAAACATCTACTCAGTGAGCCCACCACCACTACACTGCCCGGCTTTGGTCTTCCAAAGAAACAATGGGTTGTGCTGAACCGGATCCGCAGAAACCATGGAAGACACGGATACCTAATGCACAGGTGGGACTTTCTCCTGTGCGTGACTGTGGCTACAAACTCCAAACCGTGGACTTTATAACTTTGAACTGCGCAAAATATAAATGTGGATGTGAAGGGTGGGTGTGTCTGCAATTCACAAACTCTGAGACAACACAATGCAATGGATAAATCAATTACAACTGAACCTCGAATAATTGCTCTTCATAGGTCAAAGGAGAGAAGAAGTGTTTTCTCCCCATGCCTGACCAGTTAACAAAGTGAAGTGTGTACAGCTTCAGCGCACTGCGTGGGACGCTGTGGTGATACATACTTGGTACAGCCCTGTTCCCTGGCATTCGTCCCCTGGTTCTTCACTGAGGGCAGCAGCTGCCCGGACTCTGTTTGTACCGGACACCAGCTGGAGGATCGTGTCTACAAAACAACAATATGCATATGCATAGTGTACACAACTATTACCACGTTCTACGTGTCTTGATCGTGCTGCGGTGTAATGGTTAGCACTCTGCATCTCTGTCCCCCCCCCCCCAGAAGTATAAACGGGTACATCACAATTCGTTGATCAGCAAGTCGCAGTATGGAGTAGATAAAAATACCTTCTAGAGGGGCTCTTTACAGTGCCTTCTAGTGGGGGCCTTTCCGATATCAGTGGTATGAACAAGAAATTACAGGGCTGCCCTTTTACTTTCCCTAGCCTTATAAAAAAAAAACTGACAGTTAGTGAAACAACATTAGGACACAATTGAAAAAGGAGGTAGTGTAATGTCCATCAATCAGTCATGGTGTAACCGTTATGTGCATGAAACGAACACAATGTAATCCATGCATAACAATAACAATTCTAAAAATGCATTGACTTAATTTGATTTCCTGCACATTGTGACTTTATTTATAAAGTTAGCACCTTCTCACTTCGGGGTTAGATTGATATACAATGCTCAGGTGTGGTGGAACAAAGACTAGGTTGACACGTCGCCTCGCTGTTTAAACACATTGCACCTCTTGCTGCCGGCTCAGCACCATTAATATTTATAGGGAGTAAACATATGGGTGTGCTGCATTCTTTTCTGGCAGAGATTTATTCCCATTTTCATGGGATTACTCAATATACATATGCACACACATATATATAAAAAACAGCACATATTAAGAGCAAACAGGGCTACCCAGAAGTTTCTGGAGGCCCGGCGCAGACTGCTATGTGGAGGCCTCGTTGGTGTGAGTCCCAGGGCAAATTATCCCTACACACCCTTCTGGGCAAGCTGAAAGCAAATTATATATGTATGTTGAACGTCTTTTGCACCGTATGTAGCCAACCGCACTAATCGAAGGTGTGGGGGAAGGACAACAAACTAAACACAAAAACAGTTATAAAGAAATTAGTTTTTAATTCAGATTTAAAAGTGCATACCTCCAGTGGCTTCCTAATATCAGAATTACGATTAATGTATAATTTTTTAAAAGCTAATACTGAAGGAAGGAAAAATAAATCAATTAACTACGTAAAAAGATTCATGTAGCTATTTTAACATTTACTATACATACTCTAGAATACATATCACACAACAGCCATATTTTACTTTCCCTCATTATGTACTTAAAAGTATAGAATTTCTGTGTCAAAAAAATTGTTTGAAAAATGCATGCACTGGCATGGTTACTAATGCCTGAATGGCAGCACCTGCAAGCCTGGCTGATTACAAAGCACAGTGGGTGGACAACTGGCTTCCTTCCGAGCCTTTAAAGTCTACACCTGCAGCCGTCTCAGTTTCACAGGCAACGTACCTCAATAAATCTGTGAATAAAGAGTGTACAGAATTGCCTACTAGCTCTCCTTCTTACCAATGGTTGGGCAGGAAATGCATACCTAGCCCAAGTTTCAGGGTGCTCGGTACGAGACAAAAAGAAGGGTAAGACTACACCCAGAGAGCTCAGGAAGTCAGTAGCAGGTGGAGCGAAGCGTAAAAGAGTGCAACACAATGCATGTCAACTGTCCTGATGTGCAACTCCGTGAAAAAAAAACTATTAAACATTTTTTTTTATTTAACCAGGTAAGGCCCACTGAGTTATATAGCTATTTTTCATAAACTACCTGACCACAAATGATAGCTCAAGAAAGTGGTACATCATGTGGAAATTTATAGCAGCCACATACTCTAAACGCGTGATGCTAAATGTGGAGGGAAAAACCGGAGGACCTGGATAAAAATCCACGCGACCACGGGGAGAACATGCATTCCTTCAAATATGCAGGTGTCAGGGTCGGGATTGAACCCACGACCTCGTGTATACCAGGCGAGAAAGTTAACATCTCGCAACCAATGCATTTTGGAAATTCGTAATTGAGTACATGTATATACTAACCTCGATGCTACAGTAGGTCATTTTTATGTTGTGAAAAGTGCAATACAGTTTGTAAATAAAACCTTTACCACTCAAGAGAAATTATCCATTGAAACAAAGTATGTTAATACAATATTCCTACATGTTTGCACTCATCCAAGTGAAAGGATGGCAGCCAGTCGACGTGGGTGTGCACTCATTGTGGCATCCCTGGCACAAAATCCTAAGTGTTATAGAAATCCCTCATAGTCTCCGTCAAGGCAATGCGGCCCCAACACGCCCTGACCACAAAATTTACTCAATCCCGAAATACTTCAGCGGAGCGGCCCAACTGCAAGAGCATGACATGAAGCGTCGGGGCAAGTGGGCATGCAGTTCTGCCACCGGAAGGAACCAACGGTGAAAATCACTGCATATTCTTTATGAGGCAAACTAAGGATTCGTCGTTACTTTGTTCTTGCATTCCAGTTCAACCTAATAGGTTTCAGTCAAAATCACATGAAAAGCAATGCAAACACTGTGCAAGGAAAAGCAAATTCAGCATATAGGCTGTGTCATGCCTTTGTTATTCCCCCTATTGAAAATGGCTTGCATCGTATAATCCACATATCTTGGTGGGAACCTTGCTTTATCGACGCAATGTACATTATCACGTAAAATAACACCTTTGCTGTAATATTACTTCAGATATCTCAAATAGTAACTGAAACCCATTATGCATACATATTTTTGTGCAAAGCTTTATAGTGATTGGTTCATCTATTCTCAAAACTTCGCAAAGTGTTTCCTGCATGATAGCATGAATTGCGCATGCATAATAGCAGCGAGCACATGTGCTTCCATATCTGAATGCCGATGGGCACATGTGATACCATGTGGTTATATAATTCTGTACTGCATAGACAGACAGATGAGCAGCTATGTTGAGACTTAAACACACAATCACTTTACCAGTAGTTTGCAAGAGGGATATAAATAATGGGTATGATTGGAGGGGAAAAATTCAATTGAAAAAAAACCTCACTTTTCTAAAGACGAACATGTGATGGAAATGATTGCGAGCCAAGAAGCACTCCTGACAGAGGTGTATGTCCATGCACTCTGCACATCTGTCAGCAGAAAAAAACAATGTGTTTGGTAAGAGCAGTACATCTATGACACTGCAGAATCATTCAAATGAAAAACATTTTCTACTGTATTCACATTTTACCATTTGGTCAATGTATAGCAGCGTCAAACATTAATAGTGTGATTTGATCATTAAAAGACACAGATTTACAATAATTCAAGCTCTTCACATCCATGGATAACATAAATGTACGTAATTGTAAAGCAAAAAAATATACATGTTGCGAATAGTGAAACACCTTCAACATATTCAACGTGAAAGAAGACTTTCATATTTGTGTTTAGCTGAGAAACTGATGTTTCATTGTCCTTTAATTTAATTAACAAATTTTAATCCTGTTAGTTCAACACTTAGGCTTTACCCTGTTATAACTGCATGTTAGAAAGAGGGCTTGTTGCCATAAAAAATTTAGGACAATTATCCATAAAAACACACCTGCATGTCCATCATATATATTAAACTTGCAAGCCATTGAGTAAAATGCACAATATTATGAAAAACATAGTAATCTTAATGAATAACAATTTGTCTCCTGAATATATGGTTTCACATTGCAAATGTTTTAACTAGCAGGGCACTGTACTATAAGCCCATCAAAGATAGCACTGTAACCCACCTATTATAGCTCTCATACATCTGGTTATCTGGCAGAACCCGGCAGAGTAGTGCCCTCCTATAAACATGTAAAGGCAGCTGCAACATCAAATGTAGTAGGTTGTTTTGTACACCTTGGCACTTGCTGACAATGGCAGTATAGTAAATGTAACATGTAGGCTTTCATGACCAATATTGTAGGCTTACAGTGATGACATCATCTTGCTCTATTTAAGACCGGAAGCAGGACGACTTCACAATTCTGGCAAATCACCTGACGAAACTGGTTAAAATCACCAGAGAAACGTCATACTCAATTGTACATTTTGTGGGTTTACTCGCCATCACACCAATGTGCTAATGTAATAACTAATTGGCACGTTTTATTCACGTGACAAACCTTACTAATTGGCTGTCTGGTGGTGGGCTAATGACACATTTATATTTATGCGATCTAACCCAAAAAACTTTATTATTATTCTGACAGTATAGTACTATACTTTTTAATATTATTTTGTAAACTAAGCCTGCAAATGTGACGTCTGCTTGTTCCATCATTGAAACGTGCGACGGTGAAGGCATCGGGAGGCCTTCATCCAGGAATTGATAGGACATGTATAATTATGACGGTACATTACTGTATAACAAAATTTCAGTACATGTGCTTTGAAGCATTCAATGTGGTCGCAATATGTGATATAGTTCAATGCTAGCATGAAAGACGGGTGGCACACTAGACATTTTGTGCATGAAAATTACTGATGTATGACATACTGTAAATATAATTATTAACCATATGGATATAAATGTTGCTGGACAGCTTGAGTTCACATGACAGAAAAAAACTGACGCACGAGTGGAGAAGAATCTGTTAAAACAAGTTATTGGGGCCCGTTAGTAAGTGATGAGTAATGTGTATCAATTAATGGCATTGTGTAGTTTTATCTACTTAATAAAAGGAATAGTTTTAAAAGAGAACAAAGTTTTTGAAGGATTTTCACTGAAAATGTTGGGTTCGTAAAGCCATGTTTTTTATATAGTAGCTCAAAGTAGCAATGCAGTTAAAATATAAGGCTCTAGTTAACGCATACTCCAAATGTTATAATTAAAAACTGTACATGATTCATCTATATTACTCAAGACTTCAGGGTCACGTTGTTTTAACCTTTTAAAATAGATTTTCAGAATTTATTTACATAGGTAAATATAAACATAATAACTCAAGACCTAAAACGTTATCTGGAGTTCTCAAATTTGTATATTCTTGGTTCTTTCGGTAAAGTCACGTAGAAGGGAAATAATAAAATAAAAACAAAAAAATCTCAAGACGTTTCGATTGCAACACAAGCAATCATCATCAGGTGTGAAAACCACAGCAAGAACATTTTGAAAAAAGTGGAGTTCTCAAGTTAATCAAATTGTGCATGACACTATCCAGTGCTACACGATTATAATGTAAAATTAAGTTAAGTCAGTTTCGACTCCCAATGAACAACTGCTGAATGTGGTGTATCGTAATTGGTGAAATTAGTTTTCACTCTAAATTATGTGACAAAACACAGCTCTGCTAAACACAAATTGAAACGTCATTACATTCTATAACTGGACATCTGTGAAAAAGAGCTTTATTACTCGTCGGATTCCTCCAGTATAAATAAAGATTATGGACTTCGGTGTTTAGCCTAACACTAGAGTTGGTGTTGAACTAAACCATTTGAACTACGAAAGTGATCGATCTTGAAACTGCCCTTTGAACAAAAAGGTTTTATTTCACGATAGTGAAGCCATATAAATTTTACTTGTTTCTGGAATTTTAAATATTATCTCACATATTGTCTCAGGGCAAGTCAATACAACCCATTTCATTTGTCAGACAACTATGAACTGGATATGTCCTACACTGAAGCATTCCAATGCAAAGCTAATCCAGTAGCGGTACATCTTAACTTGACAATGTTTCTCTTTTTTAAAATTACTGCATGATAGCCTTGATGAAAACACTCATTGCTTTTTCCTGTTTTCACCTCCAATTTGGTAAATCATGCAGCTGAACCAGCAGTTTCGCCAACACATGTAAACAAACCTCAGCTGTAACCTGTAGCAAACTGGATATTTTATTGCTATGATTTCCAAGTTTTTTTTACCAAACTAGGAAACACATTGTACAAATATAAGGTACCCTAAAGCTGACGCACAACGTGTGCTGCAGGGGAGTGCGATGCAGATGACCACGCTAGGGCCACATCCTACCTGTAGCAGGTTCCTTGGATGGGGCGCATTTGACAGTGGTGGCACGCAATGCCAGAATTAATGTGTAGACGGACCCTCTCGGCAGCTGTGATTAGCTGTTCAGCATTATTTGCCTCCTCCTGCAGCAGGGCATAAGTGCCAAAGCACTCCCGGCACAGTGGACAGCTGAGCGTCATCGAGCCATCATCGCCCTCCCTTGTCTGGTGGTCAGCCCACATCTTCATGCAGCTGATGTGCACGCTGTTGCCGCAGCCATGCCTGGAGCACATGAGCAACATGCCTGCATAGCGTCCTGCATTTTGTATTTGTGACGGTTTGTGTGGTTACCAGCCACTGTTTTAACTACTACAGTGAGCCTATTAGGTTTCAGAAGTTACATGTTTTTACAGCAATTTCTGCATTGGATCCGAATAAATATTTAGCAGTGCAGTATATTTCCTGTTAAATAAGTATTGATCCCTATGAATAATCAGCACACCATGAACTGCAATGAACGTTGAGAGTTTTATTCATAAATAAAATGCATCCCTCTGTCCCAGTAACCACTTCCTCAGGCAGTTCTCATACAAACTATGGCCTTGGCCATTTACATTCCTAACTGGAAAGCATATCATTTAACAGTACATTCATGACTATTAGAGAGTCTATTTAAAATACTGTTTATTATATGTGGTACTGATGAGGTCCTTTCCAAACAGATACTGTAACTTAATAATGTAGTTAATGGGCACCAATGTAAACAGTGCCCTCTTTTTGGGGCATTATGGGAATATGAATGAAACAGTGGTCTATGTTTATAAGACAAAAGCTGTAAGCCAAACATGGTCTCATAGGGCACCCTTATGCGTAACGCTTTTACAGCATATCAACAAGACGGCCAAAATAAAGGTGCAAACTACCTCATTTTTCTGTCACAGGTGACACCATAAGGGGTAGATCATACACTCAACATGGCCATGAATAGCGGTACATGGCTGTTTCCACGTGTAATTTTACATAGGTCCAGGGCTTGCACATAAATAGTGGCAGCCAAGAGAACAAACACTTGCATGTAATTCTGACCTGCAGTATGTGACAGGCAGCCTCCTTTTAAAAAGCTTCTCCTGACAGATGGGACAGATGTCATTGATGCCGATGTCCTTCTGGGCCATAGAGGCGTGACTGCCAGCATGGGCAACGTTGGAGAGGTGCGTGGGCTGGGTGTTGGCAGGCCGGGCAGCTTGCTTGTGGTGAAATCCACTCAGCAGCTCCACAATCTCCCGTGCAACCAAGCCAACCTGAAAAGCATCTGCACATGCAGCAGCGAGGCAACCAACCATGGATCTGAGTCTATCTGTTGAAAAATGTCTAGAATGTTGTGACTCTTGTACTACATCCTGAAAAGCAATTTTGTTCCAATAAATCTTATGTGTAAAAGAAATACGTAAATGGTTTCTTACACTCATGTTCCCTTGGCAGACGAAACTTCTTCAGGAGAAGCCTTTGACAACAACACACGAGTTTATGCAATGTATACTGTACTGTACAATAAGAACTGTCTTTGTTTTACTAAAGGTGACTACAGTAATCTGATATTAACTCTAAGGTTAAAGGGTAAGACAAATAATGTGCATAATGTAGTGACAAGTGACAACATTCTAAACTCAGCACATGCAAATGAGTAAATAGTATGTGCATATCTGTCGGTGGCAGCCTCACAGCATTACCCAATCTAGCCTCGCTGTGGCGACAGCAATTTTACACATCATAGTTGTTGTAAATCTAGTTTCAAGTTTATTTTGTTGAACCAGGTAAGAAATCAAGAAACCCAGACAGTCTCAATTGCAAGAGTGACTTGGGTAAATAATACCAGAAATAATGAATAGATTTTATAGCGTCCAATACGTAAGCATCTAAAGATGCTGTGAACTCATGTTTAAGATGCAACACAGCATGAAGTGTCATTAGAAGACAAAAGTGATACAATTTTACGTGTTTGAAGGTGTGAGATGTGAGGAAAAATGAACGCTGTACTTGTCAAAATAATCTCCCAAATAAAGTTATTGATGTTACCTTATGCTTTGTCGATTACATCTTGCGTTTAATGCTATGACAATGTGAAACCATTAGTTATAAAGTACAGGAAGCAAACCAACCAGCAAATGTGCTTGCACAAGTCCTTCTCTTTACAAAATGTCTGGCAGCTGCAGTGGTGTGGGTCCCCTAGCAGAACCTAGATATTTAAGGTTAAACAGTTAACAAAGTAAGGATATCACACGTCAAAAAATTCGCATTTTGTACTCCTTAAGAAGTTAAGATTATGATTTCTACCGTTACTTCTAGATATGGAACATTCTTCCTGTAAACGGTGTTAATCAAAAACCTCTGTTTTCATAGTGAATAGGATGTTACGTGTTCGAGCAAATGTGTTTTTAAAACAAATCCAGTAGTAATTTTCTGTAGAAATCTTGGTTTATTTTAATTATGCTACTATAGCTGCTGTTGCTGATGTTATTTATGATTATATTACTGCTAATGTGGTGATGACGAGTCATATTTTATCTCAAACTGCATGAAGAATATATTAGAAATATGAACACTTAAACCAGCATTATTTTGTTATCTGTTTTAAATAGCCAGATAGCACTGTGGCAGAGCACTAATCTCCAAATCCTGGTTTGGAATTGACTCAACCCCTCATCCCTACATGCTCTATAAATAAGTACCACTTTGTAGGAAGTCAACATCATTGTCCTAGAGAGAGACTAGCTTCACCTATGGAAATGTAGAATTTCCATCACTGGCTAAGGAGCGCCAACAGAAATGTGCCACCCTATTGCTCGTTTATGCATGGAGGCTCTTTTACTTGAGTTTGCAACTGCACGAACAATTAAAACAGTGATAATTTAAAATCAACGTCAGGCACTCCATCATAGCGCTATGGTAATGTCCCTGTGTTGACCTAATACACGTTATGGAAAGAACAACACGGTTACATCAGCATAGTCCCGAAATGCTGTTTAGAATCATAACATGATTTTTTAAAATCATTAACGGAGCTTCAAATTCATGGCAGACAGCCTATAATACATTACACTATCTACAAGGTAAGCACGCAGTTTTTTGGGTGATATCTTCCTTTCATAAATTACTTCTAAGACTAGCGACAGGGAGGGGGGCTAGAGAAAATGAGAAGTGTATTAATGAAGCATAATGACACATGCCACAGTTTACCTTGACAGTGCTACGCTGCCCCTCCTCCTGCAGCATGAAGCCGGTGGGTCCAAACTGGCGCAGGATGTACATGGTGGTGTTCAGGGCCTGGTCTTGGCTCCAACTCACGAGGTCGCTCGCCTCACGTCGCCACCGCACACTGCGAGACATCCCTTCTCCTCACCTTCACTCTGCTTGCAAGCAGCTCAAGGGGCCCCAGCATCAGCTGTTATCCCTGAAGTATACAAATACATCGTCGGTATGACTAGAAACATAGTCATGGTCACAAACGAAGAACAAAATCTGAACAGTGTGCAAAAAAGAAGCATGGAGAGAGGCATGCTTGGATTTACACCGAGGGAAGAAAGAGAAATATCAGTTAAATATATATGGTAAAGTAGTTCAAGTGGGCTTGGGCAGGACACGTCGCGAGGAGGGATGATGACCGATGGTCGAGAATAGTGATGGAGTGACAGACAAGGATTGGAATGTGTCCTAGTTGACGTCGATCAAGGATACAGAGTGATGAAATCAGCTCATGTGCAGGTACTTAGATAATTATTACAACTCTTTGCAGCACTGACGGAGCCAGTGGGGGGTGGGATGGCACATGCCCCCCCAATGATCCGATCTAAATCCCTAATTTCGATCGGATTATTGGGGTTTATTAGTATTTTGTGACCCCCATTGCCATTGTGTAGCATATTATTATGAGATGATAGGAAAATCGTCTGAGTCGATAATTTGCAATAAGTAACGGCAAAGCAGTTATAAGTGACTCAGAATTGTGCGCAGTTGTGTATACAGTACACAACTTCCCTGAAGGCATTCACCTTCAGCGAGCACGATGCCGATCACACAACGCGGTTCGAATTCGACCCTCGATCGATGGCTGCGTCATCGCCGCACACGCGTAGAATAAAAAGCAAGGGACAAGTCCTTACTTACTAACAACTCCTTACTTACTAACAACTCCTCTATCATTTTTCATTGCTGGAGGGGTTGCCCCCCCACCTGAAAATTCTGGCTCCGCCATTGCTTTGCAGGATCATAAATAACGGCAGCTTGGGGAAGCCGTCATGCAGCAATGATGACTGAACTGTATGATGAATATGCAATTTGTACTTGGGCCTCTAACTCGGACGCAAAATGTATGGTAAAGTGTGAAATCCACACCATCAACAGGCAGAACGCCCCTCACAGTGGCTTCTATCTAGAAGTTGTGAAACACTAAATACCCTCTGTTCAATGGGCAGTTACTCCTCCTCTGCTGTGCTTGTAGTCTGGAACTCCCTTCCCCTTGGTCCTCCACACTTCCCCTTTTGAACTCCAGACTCAAGACCTTCCCCTTCACATCGGTCTATAGCTATCTTTCTATGAAGTGTCTCTCCTTTTCGTCTCTGCCCTGTAGCCTCTCCCTTTCTATTAAGTGTATCTCCTTTTTTTATCTGCCCTGTAGCCTCTCCCTTGGCAATTAAAGTAACCTTTTAAAAGCCCTCAGTTTGCTGCACTGCGTTTGGTAGTAATGTCAGTAAATGTATGTTTAATAATGCTCGGGTGTTGGATAGTATGTTGAAGGATTTTTTTTATGGGTGGCACAATACTGTTCCATTTGGCTTGGTCTTCATATTGTACGTGGTTTGGGTTTTGGTCTCTCACTTTATTTAATTGACCGTCCACACTTCCCGTTAAATGGCATTCAACTCTGTCCGTATGAAATACAATTGTCTGTAAAAGCAAACCCCACTGTTCCAAGCTCGTAACGACTGCTCGAAGGAAACACATGTGGAGGTCGTGGAGGTCATGGGGGTCACGTTTACTGAAACTTGAGGAATCCAATGAGATATAAAGCTCTTTTTCACAGATGCCCAGTAGGGGCGGGTAAGCATGTTACAATACTAATTATTTGCTTTTAATATAGCGCCCTATACACCGGGCGGTCTCAGCGCACGTCACATCTCATCTCAACACATTTAAATCAGAATATTTATTCATACTGGAGAAATCCGATGAGCTATGAAGCTCTGCTTCACAGATTTAAAGGCCCCCGCCCACCCCCCCCCCCCCCCCCCCCCATGGCAGCTGTCCCCTGTGCGGCACAATGTGGCTCGACACCTATCCTGCGAACGGGCATTAGTCTCTTTAACACGTAGGCGTGTGTATATCGGATTGTTTATGTGGCAGATGCTATATTGGACAGACGGGACGTAACATCAGGATAAGACTAAAAGAACACCAAATAAATATTAAATTATCTCAAACACAACTGTCGGCAGTGGCAGAACATGCTTGTTAACAAGGACACTTAATTGATTTTGATAACGTTGAAGTGTTGTGTAAAACGAATTATTACTGGCAAAGACTAATTAGAGAATCCATTGAAATTGAGAGAAATAGAAATAACTTTAATCGCTCTGATAGCTGCAGGCTTAGTGCGGCTTGGAAGCGTATTATTAAATAATACATATTACAATTCCTTATAGGGAAATACATACTAATTAACTGATTTCCAACGTAGCATATAATCACAATAACACACATTACAACTAATTACTAATCTACAACTCATTACTAATCATAACCATTGACTGATTACCAATCGATTACATAATTACAATACCCCCCTCCGCCTCAAATCACTGCACCTGAGTGAGTTAAATGATGACCCTGCTGCTGCTCTATTTAAGATCGGGAGCAAGTGGAGAGGGCTTCACTATTCTGGCAAATTGCCCGATGATGCTGGATGTAATTACCAGCGAAACGTCGTATTCAAACTGTAAATGTTGTGGATTCACTCTTCAACACACCGGTGGGCTAAAGTAGTGAACTATTTGTCTTTTATATTCTTGGTTCTTTCGGTAAAGTCACGTAGAACGGAAACAATAAAATAAAATAATAAAAAATATAAAACAATCAAATTCTCACGACGTTTCGACTGCAACACAAGCAATCATCATCAGGTGTGAAAACCACAGCAAGAACATTTTAATTTTATTGTTTTATATTTTTATTTTTTATTATTTTATTGTTTCCCTTCTACGTGACTTTACCGAAAGAACCAAGAATATGAATCCCTGCAGTCACGAAAGCTTTAAATCAAAATTGATTTGTCTTTTGTCAACGTGACACTTTTTTGCTTATTGGCCGTGTCGGGTGGTGGAGGGTTACGACACATTTATAAATAACGCGATCTAACCCAAAACCTTTATTATGGGCATTAGTCTGTCAGTAGGGGATGAGTGTGGGGGGGGGGGGGGGTCGGGGTGATTGCGATGTATAATCCCAATTGAGTAATTTACGTTCGCATTGATATATGCTCCAGGCAGCGCATTTGAACAAAGCGATTGTTTTCCCTCTCTCCAAGTTAAACGGTCCCCGCCGGATAAGGAAGACCACCCACAGACCGAAGCGTCCGGCCAGCCGCGTGTCCACCGAGCTAACGCCGATATCGCGTGTGCGAAACACAAAAATATATACATGTAAAATATCTGACATTTTACAAAAGAGTGCGGTTACGTATGACCAAATGTTAATGCGCTTAAATGTGATAAACGAGAGAGAGAGATAGACCTTCATATTCTTGGTTCTTTCGGTGAAGTCACGTAGAAGGGAAACAATAAAATAATAATGATAACATTATTAGTTTTTTTTATTATGACTTTACCGAAAGAACCAAGAATATGAATCTCTGCAGTCACGAAAGCTTTAAATCAAAATCTAGAGACCTTCCTTTGCTGATCACCACGGCGTCTTCCTGTTTGCTCGTTGCCGTGGCGACACCGGCACCGCCCCCCCGCTAGACCACGCCCCCCACCCAAAGAGGCCACGCTCCCTGCCCCACTAGGCCACGCCCCCCTCCCATGTTGGTGTAAAATAAACTCTCAACACGTCAATAACAACACTCTGTGTGCGTTTGACCTTTAAAAGAGAACAAATATATAATAGGCGACGTTTCGGGCATTTTATCTTCTTCATAGTATGTAAATAGAGAGACCAGAGAGGGATAGAGTTCATGATGGTTTGGAGATTGCACTGAACACCATGGGGCCTGATGAGAATTAAATCATAACATGTTTACTGGAACACTTGCCATTGTGGCAATGCATTCCTGGGCCCCCTGCCAGATAGGTGCCCAAGTGTATGCAACAAAATAAATCAGCAGACAATGATACATTTATTTCAAATATCTGTCCCTCCACGTAAAAATACGACTTTTTACACTGAATGTCAACCACAACGCCTTCTGAAAGTACCGTAATACAATTTCAACAGCAATGGTTCAATACAACCAACTTTGAGCCGGTTTTGACATACAGCGTCTCATTCCCAGTCAAGCCTGCTTTTCAATTAATGCTGGTGAACTGCCAGACGTTTCGGAAAGGGCACCTCTCTCTCAGATATTTGGTTCAAGCAGGCTTGACTTTGCTCATAAAACACTGTTCAATGTTTTTAATCAATGCTGCTGAAATGATGCCCTCCCAGAAAGCCGTGGGGCCGATGGGTTGAGTAAAAAAAATACTTAACATTTTAATGTGGGGAGACGGAAATATGAAGGAGACATATTTGTCTGCTGATTTATTTTGGTAAACAAAAAAGTGGGCTCTTTCCGCGTTCATAAAATGCTAAATTTACTTGTTCGAGGCTGTTCATCCATGAGACTTTGGTGTACATTTCCAAACTCGTGGCTTGCCGCATAACTATCCGCACAAGTCGGATTTTGCCCGTAAAAAAACGTGCAAAGTATTGCACCAATTTAACAGCTGTAATTATATAATGCCTTCCACGTCCAATCAAACTAAAATAAATCAAAGCATACTTTCGAGGTGATGTCAATAAAACCGGGAGAAAATACTTTGCTTATCATTAAAAACTTCCAAACGCGTGGCTTCTTGTCCCCATTGAGGCGTCAGGACCGCTGTTCTATGCCAAGTCTAACAGGGTTACCTGGGCTCGTATTTCCTCAACATTGTAAAGGCTAACCTTGATTCAAACATAATTTGGTGTTGTACCAATCGGTCGACAAGTGGCGCTGATGGGGTGGATACTAATACAGATCATAATGATTTACAACAAGCCCCTTTGTCAACCTCGCAGCTGAAGGTCTCTGCTCACGCCGTATCAGTCGTGGGGGGTTACTTTGACCATACTTGACCACATGGTTCATTGTGGTCATTGTGGGTTGGTGAAGTGAGGGGGTGGGGGGTGGGTTGAATCGGGAACGATTTCAAATATAACTTGCCGCTGATGATAGCTGTGGCAAATTATAATTAAAATAACAAAACCGCCCGGCCAACTGCCAGCTCAACTGACAACTGTCGTCCTATGCAATGTCAGCAACATTTTATTCGTGATAAATATATGTTGGAATATAGGTCATTGTAGACTTGAAAGTTATTTTAAAGCTTGTCCGGTGCATTAATAGTATTTGAACTATTATACTATTTTACTGGTTAGTGTGCTGTGGTAGGGACTAGCAGAGTACATTTTCGACATCTGTAAAATTTGGAATAACATTTGACCCACAAACACAATCTCCACTTTATTCCCTTTGAGTGATTTACTTTAACATCGTTTGTTTATCCACAAAAGCTTCAACCGGGTTTCAAGACTTCTTCAGGAGGGTCCTGCCAAGTTTTCGCAATGGTGGGAGATGTTACTTTGTGTAAACACAACTCAGTAATTTAAATTGATTTTTTTCAGCATTGGGATGGTTGACCAATAACATTTTGTATGTTAATTAATGTAAACAGTTCTTTATTGGAGACAGAGGGATCCTGGCGCTTGACCTGGAGTAGGTAGGTAAAGTTATTAGGGGTCCCTGGGGCACTAAAGACAACATAGGACAGGGGTAGGGAAAAGGGGGGCACTAGGCCATTAGATTAGGGGGTATATGGTGACTGAGAGGGTGACAGGCTGGTTTGGGGAACTCAGGGGCCCAATAGGAGGGGTTAAACAGGCAGTGTAGTCCCTCTGAATGGGAAAGGCAGAAGAGGGGATAGTAGAGGGGATAAAGGCACGGTATGGAATGTAGGGGGCTAGAAAAGAGACGTCCTATAGTTTGGAGACATTACTGTGGATTAGAGGGATATAGAGTGGGAGGGGGGGTAGAGACTTTAGTGTGGGTATTGAGTAGAGTGGAGGGTTATAGAGTTGTGGGGGGTGGAGGATATAGAGTTGGGAGTAAAGAGGAGGGTGGTATAGAGTAGAGGGGTGTAGAGTAGGGGTAGCATAGAGTGGGTATAGAGTAGGGGGGTATAGAGTGGGGGAATATCGAGTGGGGTTGTAGGGTGTAGGGTATAGAGAGGGGGGTAAAACGTATATGGCGATGAGGGGGGATTGGGTAGAGTAGGGGGTATAGTGGGAATATAAAGTAGAGGCTTAGAGTTGGGGGCGTTGAGTTGGGGGGGCTTAGAGTTGGGGGGGCGTAGAGTTGGGGGGGGGGCGTAGAGTTGGGGGGGGGTGTATAGAGTGGGGGTATAGAGTGGCGAGTATTGTGTGGGGGGTGTAGATTGGAGGGGGCTGTCTGCAGGCGGGGCCGGCCGAGTGACTCGCGCTTGCTGCGCGCACCCAGGAGGCAGTGCGGCTCGCAGCGCGTGGCCGCGGAGAGCGCGCGAGAGAGAGACACACAGAGAGAGAGAGGAGGCAGCGAGAGAAGGGGGAGCGAGACGAGGTGAGGGAGAGACGAGGTGAGAGGGTCAGAGAGAGGAGAGCGACGAGGGGGGCGGAGGACGGGAGAGGAGCAGGGAGAGCGCCGGAGGAAGGGCACGGGAGAGACCTCGCTGTGGGGGACCCCCCCCCCAGACGCCGACCATGCGAGTGCACGTGGCGGTGCGAGCGCGCGCCTAGAGCCGGTGAGTGCGACACGCACCTCCTCCTCATCATCCACCACCTCATCATCCACCACCTCCGAGCACCAGCGTCATCAGCAGCAGCAACACAACCAGCCAACACCAGCAGCGTCACCGTCAAATTCCCCAAATAAATCAGCGGCACCAACACATCATCACCCCAGCACCATCGTCGTCATCATCAGCAGCACAACGCACCAGAACCATCATCACAATGGTCATATTCCCAGTAGGATCGTCACCATCAGCAGCAGCAGTAGTCCATAGTCATCCCGTGTACAGTACTTGCAGCAGTCCACACCGCAGTTATTGATCAGCGGTAAGCGCACCGCGCGACACGAGCTCGCCGCCAGCCGAGTTGTTGGATCAACGTGGGCGAGGTGCAGGGAGAAGCGATCTTACACCGCTGATCCAGCAGCTGTTTCATAAACGGCGGGTTAACGCGTACAAATCGCACAGCGCAAGTGCTGCTGCTGGTGGTGGTGGTATATAGTACGGAGAGAGCACGAGGCAAAAGGCCGACTTCACGTTTGCAGTGGAAACACGCGGTGGGCAGCGTTGGGACCCCCGTGGTGGGCAGCGTTGGGACCCCCGTGGTGGGCAGAGTTGGGACTCCTGCGGTGGACATCGTCGGGACCCCCGCGGTGGGCAGAGTTGGGACATCCGCGGTGGACATCGTCGGGACCCCTGCGGTGGACATCGTCGGGACCCCCGCTGTGGGCAGCGTTGGGACCCCCGCGGTGGGCAGCGTTGGGACCCCCGCGGTGGCCAGAGTTGGGACCCCCGCGTTGGGCAGCGTTGGGACCCCCGTGGTGGGCAGCGTTGGGACCCCCGCGGTGGGCAGCGTTGGGACCCCCGCGGTGGGCAGAGTTGGGACCCCCGTGGTGGGCAGCGTTGGGACCCCCGCGGTGGGCAGCGTTGGGACCCCGCGGTCGCCAGCGTTGGGACCCCCGCGGTGGGCAGCGTTGGGACCCCCGTGGTGGCCAGCGTTGGGACCCCCGCGTTGGGCAGCGTTGGGACCCCCGCGGTGGCCAGAGTTGGGACCCCCGCGTTGGGCAGCGTTGGGACCCCCGCGGTGGGCATGGAGCCCACCACGTGCGCCCCACCGTCGGCATTGCGCCGTGCAACACCGCGAGTTGTTCTATCGGGGTTGGTGGGTTGGGTTGGATGCAAAATCCCGCCACCGTGTTAAACTTAATGCCTGCTTATTTCGTTACGGTCACTTGATTCTGTTACTGTACATGAACATAAACATGGGTTTGAAATCGTGATATATATTTTTTTTACATTACCGGTATATAAAAAAAACGGTTTGTAAAAAAGAAACACGTGGGAAACGGTTACCGGTATGCCGCACATGTAGACACGTCAAGCGATAAGCCCAAGATGTTTACCTTGTTTTTAAACTGATAAACGAAGGCAGCCGGCCACAATGGTGGAATGGTTTGCGCGCTTGCCCTTGAAATCCAGACGTGGTTCGCTGATTCAGTTCCATTTCCCGGCGCGGCAGTTGAAGCAATTGAGAAAGTTTCATAAATCAACCTCTGCCCACCACCCCTCCTCCTCCGTCCAGCAGTATAATTTGGTTCAACAATCAGTCAATCAGTAGTTCGTGTGTGGTGGGGTAAAGTCTGTGTACTCCCACCTCTGCCAATACGTCTGGCGTCGGTGTGGAAGAGTAGACCAAAATACCCCCTCGAGTTCACTCCAGTGGAGGCTTTTCCCGCCTGCAGTGGCGTCAATGATTGCACCCGTTACCTGCTCACCGAGATTCGAGGACTAAATTGTACCAACGCAGTGACTTAGGCCACCCTTAGTGTGATCGTGCTCGTCAATTGGCGAATTCATGACTGATAACGGTTACCGGTTCCTGACTTTTTGAAACCGGTAACCCATATACTGCAAACTGTTACCGGTTCAGCGGATGTCATTTGACAACCCGAGCTGTGAAAAAAGGAGCTTCATGGCTCATCGGATTGCCCCCAGTATAAATACATATTGTTATTCCGAATTGGTGCACCGTGCGTGCAGTGAACGATATGCAACAGGAGTGTGTGGTGCTTTGCGTCGTGCAGTGTGTCGCAGTGGTTGTGCGTCGGTATAGTGAGTGTGTAGAGTTGCATTGGTGTGCACTGTGTAGTCTATTATTGCAGTGGTGTGCACTGTGTAGTGTATTAATGCAGTGGTGTGCACTGTGTAGTCTATTATTGCAGTGGTGTGCACTGTGTAGTGTATTAATGCAGTGGTGTGCACTGTGTAGTCTATTATTGCAGTGGTGTGCACTGTGTAGTCTATTGCAGTGGTGTGCACTGTGTAGTCTTGCAGTGGTGTGCACTGTGTAGTCTATTGCAGTGGTGTGCACTGTCGTGTATTATTGCAGTGGTGTGCACTGTGTAGTCTATTGCAGTGGTGTGCACTGTGTAGTCTATTATTGCAGTGGTGTGCGCTGTGTAGTCTATTATTGCAGTGGTGTGCACTGTGTAGTCTATTATTGCAGTGGTGTGCACTGTCTAGTCTATTATTGCAGTGGTGTGCGCTGTGTCGTGTATTAATGCAGTGGTGTGCACTGTGTAGTCTATTATTGCAGTGGTGTGCACTGTCTTGTCTATTATTGCAGTGGTGTGCACTGTGTAGTCTATTATTGCAGTGGTGTGCACTGTGTAGTCTATTGCAGTGGTGTGCACTGTCTAGTCTATTATTGCAGTGGTGTGCACTGTGTAGTCTATTATTGCAGTGGTGTGCACTGTGTAGTCTATTGCAGTGGTGTGCACTGTCTAGTCTATTATTGCAGTGGTGTGCACTGTGTAGTCTATTATTGCAGTGGTGTGCACTGTGTAGTCTATTATTGCAGTGGTGTGCGCTGTGTCGTGTATTAATGCAGTGGTGTGCACTGTGTAGTCTATTATTGCAGTGGTGTGCACTGTCTTGTCTATTATTGCAGTGGTGTGCACTGTGTAGTCTATTATTGCAGTGGTGTGCACTGTCGGGTATTATTGCAGTGGTGTGCACTGTGTAGTCTATTATTGCAGTGGTGTGCACTGTGTCGGGTATTATTGCAGTGGTGTGCGCTGTGTAGTCTATTAATGCAGTGGTGTGCACTGTGTAGTCTATTATTGCAGTGGTGTGCACTGTCTTGTCTATTATTGCAGTGGTGTGCACTGTGTAGTCTATTATTGCAGTGGTGTGCGCTGTGTAGTCTATTAATGCAGTGGTGTGCACTGTGTAGTCTATTATTGCAGTGGTGTGCACTGTCTTGTCTATTATTGCAGTGGTGTGCACTGGGTAGTCTATTATTGCAGTGGTGTGAACTATGTAGTCTATTATTGCAGTGGTGTGCGCTGTGTAGTCTATTATTGCAGTGGTGTGCACTGTGTCGGGTATTATTGCAGTGGTGTGCGCTGTGTAGTCTATTAATGCAGTGGTGTGCACTGTGTAGTCTATTATTGCAGTGGTGTGCACTGTCTTGTCTATTATTGCAGTGGTGTGCACTGTGTAGTCTATTATTGCAGTGGTGTGAACTATGTAGTCTATTATTGCAGTGGTGTGCGCTGTGTAGTCTATTATTGCAGTGGTGTGCACTGTGTAATCTATTATTGCAGTGGTGTGCACTGTGTAGTCTATTAATGCAGTGGTGTGCACTGTGTAGTCTATTATTGCAGTGGTGTGCACTGTCTAGTCTATTATTGCAGTGGTGTGCGCTGTGTCGTGTATTAATGCAGTGGTGTGCACTGTGTAGTCTATTATTGCAGTGGTGTGCACTGTCTTGTCTATTATTGCAGTGGTGTGCACTGTGTAGTCTATTATTGCAGTGGTGTGCACTGTGTAGTGTATTATCGCAGTGGTGTGCGCTGTGCCGTGTATTATTGCAATGGTGTGCGCTGTGTCGTGTATTATTGCAGTGGTGTGCACTGTGTAGTTTATTATTGCAGTGGTGTGCACTGTGTAGTGTATTATTGCAGTGGTGTGCACTGTGTAGTGTATTATTGCAGTGGTGTGCGCTGTGTCGTGTATTATTGCAGTGGTGTGCAGTTCATTGCATTGGTTTGCACTGTAGTGTTTTACAGTGGTGTCTATAGTGTAAATTATTATTGTAGCGGTGCGCACTGTGTAGTGTGTTGTAGTGGTGTGCACTGTGTAGTACCTTGCAATGGTGTGCACTATGTAGATTGGTATAGCAGTGGTGTGCACTGTATTGTATGTGCACTATACTTCAATGGAGTGTTCTGTACTGCGGTGGTGTGGTCGATACTTCAGCTGTGTAGTCTATAATGCAGCGGTGTGCTCGCTTTATAGCAGTAGCAGGGGTATGAGACGCGAGGTGGATTTTTGTGAAGATGAAATGGAGTGCAGCAGTGAAGGAAAGCGTGGTGCCTCGATGTTAGAAGTGAGGAGTTTGTGTGTTATCAACCTCTGTGTGATGTATCTATTGGGTGTGTTTTGAGTGTGCTGTGCACTTGCGTTACGAGTGTTTTTCCGGTGGTGAGATGTGTGTTGTGGGTGTGTTTAGAGTTGAAATGTTATGAGCTGGGTGTATTGGTGTGTTTTGAGTTCTGTGAAAGTGTATTGTTAGGTGGTGCCAGTTGGTGTATTCTGTGAGTTTGTGTTGCGAGTTTGTGTGAGTTGGTGTGTACCGTGAGGATCCTGTGTGAGTTGATGTGTTTGTAGAGTTGTGTTTTTTGTTGCCTATTATGTGCCGGGTGTGCGATTTGAAGGGACACCACGATGCTGGGAGTGGCTGGGAGGGGGTGCCGGGTGGGTGGGCGGATCTAGCCTCGTGTGGGGTCTTGAGTTTGAGTTGCTGGATTCTGGGATGTTAATTTGAGGGTCGGGGGGGTGTCTTTTTAAATTGTTGGTGGTTTGAGTTTGCCAGTTCTCAGAGTACTTTCTGTCAATGTGCTCCTTGGGGTCTTAGGGTCACTGTGCCCTTATTGAATATTTGGGTCACGGTGTTTGCTGTGGACTCTTTTGCTGGCGTTGAGGTCTTTGGGGCATTAGGGGTCATT